CGGTTAAATAAACAACTGACTAGCGTATTTTGTTATTGTTGATTGAATGAAATATTACCCCAACATCAGCTGTTTAACAGCGAATTGAACAAAGTTTGTTCAGGTTTGCTTTAATAATTACTGCAGCGACAGTTTTTCTCGTCAGAGTCATCGCAATGAGGATTCTTTCCCGAGAGTTTTCCAAGCAAGGAATCGTTTCCAACGCAATCTTTCATTAAGGATTGATGTTCATCGGAATCGTAATACTACAAGCTTGGCCGAATGAAGGCATTTCGCAGAGCAAAACTTCACAGTTAAGTACGTATTTTCATAAGATACCGTTTTGAAAGCAACAACGGTGTTGAAATTTTAGCCTTATAATTAAGGATATTATATGGCCGCTCGGAGATATACGAAATTTCTCTTCGAGTGTCTTCAAAATGAGAAGAGAAATTCCGTATCTCCAAGCGACCATGTAATTTTCTTTTTATGATATAAAACTATCATAATACATAACGACGTTTTTAGCGATTTTCCGAAGATTTCCCACCACTTTGCGAAAATTTCCGAAGATTCTCCGAAAGTAGTCCGAAGGCAAGACGAACGTTTCTGGAAATTTTACCAAAAGTTCCGAACATTTCCGAAGATTGCCGAAGATTGCCGGGGATGGATTGCCAAGTACTTCCGAAGAACATCCGAAGATATTTCGATCATACACCAACACATTTAAGTGCTAAGGGACAAAAATGAGATCACGCGTGTGGATAAAAATGATATCCTAACATATAAGATGTCGGTTTTGATCTGCTACCACTCAAAATACAACTAAATATAACGAAAGTTTACATCAAACGCTTTTTTTCTGTCAGTTCTGTATCTTTTCTCAATCGCTCACTCAGAAACATTGTCCAGGTACACCCTTTTCAGGAAACGTTTAACATTAAAAATGATAATGTTTGTGCATGTTTTAAATTTAAGCATCGAAAAAATCATCCCTGATTAGGATATGTTTCTTTTTTACAACGGAAACTCGCCCTTTTTTACAGGCTTAATATCAAGAAGTACCCAACCGAAATGAAATCGACAAATTTCTCACGAGGAAATGTTCGTTGCAAAGCAAAGTGAACGCTGCTAACACACTGCAGCGTTACCCTGGTCTCAAAGACCATGGTTTCAAGTACTATCTTCAAAATTTAGAGTCATTGTTTTACGGCCTTTCCTATATGCTTATACTAATAAATTCAACATGCCAGGACCAAAATATTAAAAGTTCTATAGTCCTAAGCTACTTACTGTCAGTTGTCGTGTTTATTGTTCTAGAGGATCTCTAACAAAGTTCACAAATCAGTGATGCGGTAACCCTTCTTGCCTTAGTGTGACAGATACTCATCAAATTAATTTTGCGCAAGGCTTTGGACCTTTTGTTATGTCAATAAACAGCTTGTTGTATGCATGTCGATGTATATCTCTCCAAGAATTGACTGCATGAATTGTGTTTTATGAGTGTACCGATATGGCCATGGCAATCTGTTTGCCTGGGTGCCCTTCCCTTGCGTTCTCAAAGTACAAAACTAATTGCAAGATAAATGGAGAGCTGAAGACTTGAGGAATTCTCATGCAATGGGCAGCGAGAATCACAAGCCATGCAGGTTGGTTAATTACAGCTTCGAATTCTCCTCTGTAAGAAATGATGATCTGGTTTTTTCTACACAGGTACGACGGTGCTGCATCCGTACGAACCAGTCGGTTGTTTCAAGGATGAAAAAGATCCACGCGCTCTACCAAAATTAGTCAAACGGTACTGGGTCAACGAGTCAGATTTGGCTAATTCCCTCGCAACCATAATTCAGAAGTGTGCTACTAAGGTGTATGAGAATGGCTTCTGGTATTTTGGCGTGGAATTTCGCCACGAATGCTGGAGTGGAGTGAACGGTAGCTTAACTTACGACATACATGGGCGATCCAACAGTTGTTTATGTGATCATGGCGTGGGATCTGTATGGACCATATTTGTTTACCGCTTTGTTGGAGGTTAGTTACCAGTTCACAGGAAATTTAGCTTCCTGACAAATCTGAGAGTCTGAGAACTTGTGTCATGGATGGGTAAGAAAATACTGTATAATGGTTCCCATGCTTCTGTACATCAAGGTTTAAAACACTAGTAAACATCATAGGTGAAGAAATGTTGCTGGTTTGTTTAATGATAAAGAATTTTCAAGCTTTCAAATTATTGCTAAATTTTGACAAGATATTCTCTTTCCTTGGCACCTGAGATCAGGTTTTCCATTCCTTTTACCGGTATAGCCAAGAACTTTCTGTGTTTAACCTATTTCAGGTAAAGAGTTCCAAGTTCTAAAAATTTGTATGTAAACTGGTAATAAGTACCTGCCTAGATTAGTCTCCGGCTGCTCCAGTCCACTGGGTTGGAATAATGAATAATAACCATAAATCTTTTTGTCGTGAACGGTGAAGTCTTTTTGTACAGAAACGCCATGCATGGTCATCTTAAAACGAAATCTTAGAGCATAAACTAATCAATTTTAACAATTCAAAACTTCAGCAGTCGATACCTTTTCTAAAGCTTTGATGTGATGAATTATTTTGTCTAATCATCAGTGAATGGCGGTTGGAGCCAGTGGTCGTCATGGCAATCATGCAGCGTGACATGTGGAGGGGGAAACAGGACACGCTCTCGCACATGCTCCAATCCAGCGTCAAAATGGAACGGAAAGGATTGCCCTGGGACAAATATCTCCACAGAGAGCTGCAATTTGCACAAATGTAAAGGTAGATCACAAAAACTTTAAAAGTCAAAGGTTTATTCACCTTTAAATCTTCATTTCATGTGATGGATATCTTTCTCCTGATAATCAGTGAATGGCAGTTGGAGCCAGTGGTCGTCATGGCAATCATGCAGTGTGACGTGTGGAGGGGGAAACAGGACACGTACTCGCACATGCTCTAATCCAGCGCCAAAATGGAACGGAATGGATTGCCCTGGGACAAATATATCCACAGAGAGCTGCAATTTGCACAAATGTAAAGGTAGGTCACAGAAACTCAAAACTTCAAAAGTTTTTTCACCTTTGAACTCTTCATGTCATGGATAATGTTACCTCTGATCATCAGTGAATGGCAGTTGGAGCCAGTGGTCGTCATGGGGACCATGCAGCGTGACGTGTGGAGGAGGACAGTGGACACGCACTCGCACATGCTCTAATCCAGCGCCAAAATGGAACGGAAATGATTGCCCCGGGACAAATATCTCCACAGAGAACTGCAGTTTGCGCAAATGTAAAGGTAGATGCCTCTTTTGAAAGATTTTTCCAAAAATGATCCCGGCTTGTTAGTTAAGTAAAGTAAAGTAAAGTGAAGTAAAATCCTTTATTTAAAACACGAATATCGTTGTTGTTTTGAAGCTCGGTGCGTTCCTTGCTTAATCTTTTCATTTCAGAGCTGAAATAGTTTTTGATTTTCAGAATGTTTAATCATTTGTACCGATATGGTCATGAACCTTAGGCCCCCATTCTTGCAAGATGACAAAATGTAATACTGCGGCAAAGGGGTAAACGAGCGGCACTTAACTTCGCAAGATAAATGGGACTCTATTAATATACAACCTTGTTAAATATTTTTGTTAGTCCAAGGGAAATAGAGCTTGTTTTTAACGGTCGAGACTTGCGAGCCTCTCGTGAAATGCCCAGCAAGAACCACCAGCCATGCAGGTTAGCCTGACTTCTCTAATTATTGATGATCTGGTCTTTTCTACACAGATACGTCGGGGCTTCATCCGTATGAACCAGTCGGTTGTTTCAAAGACAATTATCCACGCGCTCTACCATTATTAGTCCAAGAGTACTCTGTAAACGAGACAGATTTGGCCAATTCATTCGCCAACATAATTCACGCGTGTGCTACTAAAGTCTTTGAGATTGGATTCTGGTATTTTGGAGTGGAATATCGCCACGAGTGCTGGACTGGAGTGAACGGCGACATGACTTACCACAGACACGGACAATCCGACCGTTGTTTATGGAATTATAGCGTGGGAGATACATGGACCATATTTGTTTACCGCTTTGTTGAAGGTTAGTTACCAGTCGATCACTTCACACTTCACAAATATTTTTCTAACTAATATTATGTAAAATGATTAGCATTTGGGTCCCAAACCAGCTGATCTAAATATATTTCTTTCCGTTAGTTCTAAAAATTTGTAAACTGGTATTAAGCACCAGCCTTGATGGGGCTCTTGTCTTCACCAGTTCATTGGATTGGAATACTAAATAAAAACTATAAACCTTTTTTAAAGTCTTTTTATACAGAAACGCCGTCTTAAAACACCGTTTACAAAGCATAGGCCGAGCATTTTTAACCAATTCACAAAGTCAACAGTTTATACACTTTCTAAGGTTTTCATGTCATGGATTATTCCCTGTAATCATCAGTGAATGGCAGTTGGAGCCAGTGGTCGTCATGGCAACCATGCAGCGTGACGTGTGGAGGGGGACACAGGACACGTTCTCGCACATGCTCTAATCCAGCGCCTAAATGGAACGGAAAGTATTGTCCTGGGACAAATATCTTCACAGAGAGCTGTAATTTACACAAATGTAAAGGTATATGCCTTTTTTTGAAATAGTTTTCCTTAAAATGATTCCGGCTTATCTTGATGCTCTAGTATGTTCCTTGCTTTTCATTGTGGAAGTGAGTTAGTTTTTAATTTCTAAGGTGGCTTTGTGCCTTAAGAATACACTCAAACCTCTTTTATACGGGCACCACAGGGGCAGAACTGAATGCCTTTATCATAAATGTGTCCGCGAGGGGCGAGGTTCCACCGTAACGTGTTATTTAAAGTGGTTGTAAGAATGTTGTTAAGACGTAAAGGCAAAAGATGAATATATAAATAAATGAATAAATAAATAAATATATATATATAGATAAATATATCAATATTTCAGATTTAAAAAAAAAAAAAGGTCCTTATTCATAGCTTTAGTCAGTCGTTAAAACTTACAAGGTACTGATAGGGTAAAGAACTGTCCCAATAAACTAAAAACTAACAATACAATCTATTTCAAATCAAAAGACATCTATTTACAGAGCATGAGGCGACCTGGTGAGGATGCGACCTATCGCCTAGGGTCCTGTTCTTACGTGGTCGCAGAGCATCCTGCAGTGGATGCTAGGGAGTACCTACCAGACTATTCCACAGCCTCAAATCCCTTTCTTTAACGATCTGTTGGATCGCCGTTACCTGTTAATTGTACCCCAATCTAAATGCTCTTTTCTGTAGCCTATCAAGAATTGATATAAGCTACAGCGTTTGTCGAAGTATTTTCTTTTTATCGTCGTTATTATTATATCAGACTTTGCACCATTTGTGTTGTTTACCACCGAAGAATATTCATAGTTTATGAAATATTGTCATCAGCTAACTACTTCTAAAGTAATTTACAAGCGGCAATGAGATAATAATAACAATAATGATAACAGCAGGTTGTTTAAAATAGACCGATTCAAGTTGAAAAGAAAAACAAAATGGCATAAAATATCTTTGTGAAAGAAATAAATTAGTTATCTAAATGGTGTTGTCATATTTCGCTCTTCATTGCATTCAGACTCTTCGGGAGGTAATCGTCTTCACAACAATCAGACTTATCACGGTCAGAACACTGGGGAATCATCTTTGCCACTGGTAGCGAAGATTGTAGGCAGCTCGCTTTTGGCTCTGCTATGTTTAAGTGGAGTGTTATGGTTTGCCTTGAGATATTTCAGAAAGAGTCGGTGAGTATAACTTATAACGAATACTCTCGGTCAGCTCCAGTAAATGATACGCATGTTTTATTCAAGAAAAAAACTAGGAGGGTAGGCAACTTACAGGTCCTTGTGTGACATATAAACTTGTTGCAACACAATAAACAGTTTAAGGCTGTGGTCTTACAATAATATTAATTAACAAAAAAAGCAAAATAAATATTTTACATTCCCTATTCTCGTGCCAAATAACCAAAGAAACGTCGAGGAAGTATTCTACAGAAAAATTAATGAGAATAGATTTGTTTTATGAGTTAACGCACGCTCGAGGGAAATTGATATAGATGAAGTCAACATGACAACAAAATTAAAAACGCTTACCGTGAATTTTCGAGCGTTTTATTCCGTGGAATTCTGTTAAAAAGTTTGCACACTGGTAATAGATATTTTGCCTTAGTTGGAGCTCGTTTTTCGGGAAAAATCTGTCAGACCGGTTTTTCCACAGCAAGAAAATTTTGGAGAAATTTTGCA